CCTGAGTACTACTTTTAAGGAGTGGACTTCTTTTCCCTGTTAAAAAAAAACGTGTTGGTTGACACAAACCAGAGAGCGGGACACCTTGACTTTATTTCCTCTCAAATTGTCACTTGTAAAAAAATTAAAAAATGATGGAAGTTTGTCAACGGGAAAAGTAAACTCATTTTTACAAATTCCACTTCACAAGTCCTTGGTCAATTAATGCTTAAAAGTGGATTTTCATTAAAAATATTGTGTGCCTCCCTTGTTAGTTTTTATTTTCTTCACTGAGGCTTGCATGAGATAAAAATAGAATTGAATTTGTGAATTTCTTTTTGGAAAGTAGCTAGAAAAAAACTTTAGTTTTTAGCTGTGTACTATCAGATATCCTGATGTGTTGTCTGCTCCTTAATAAGAGTGGCCAACTCATCCCGGTTTTAAAACTAAAAGTCCTGTGTCTCAAGAATTCCCTTTACATGTATTGAAATATAACTCTGCACCCCATAAATTAATGTACAATTAATACATATCAATTAAAAAATAAATTAATTAGGGAAAAAAAAACTCCCTCATTTTCAGCTAAACCCAGACAGTTGGTTACCCTAATCTAAGTTCATTCTCTGCATCCCTGAAAAGGCCTAACTAGGTTGTTATTGATTATCATTTTGGATAGAAGGAGACTTTCACAATATACTAGCTTCTATTGGAATGCACCAGGGATTAGTTTTTTTTTTTTTTTTTAAGAAATGTCTTGTTTTATTTGTTCCAGTGATCCTAGGTTTGACTCTCATAGAAATAAAACATGAAGAATTTTTTTTTTTTCCTTTTTGTCTTTTTTAGTGACCAGTAACGGGATCGCAACCCTCAGTGTCGCGCCTGCACCATGCTTAACCAATGAGCGGACCGGTCTCTATATGGGATCCAAACCCTCAGTGGGAGCACCGCCATGCTCCCAAGCACCGCACTCTACCGAGTGTGCCACTGGGCCGGCCCAAACATGAAGAATTTTAAACTGATTTTAAAAGTTAATCCCAAGCACTTTAGTTATATTTCATTTATGTGTATATGTTAAAACAATAGGTGATAAATGTGAGATATTTGTGGCAAATGAGTAGCCATATTAGGCAAATATATAGAAAAGCCTCATACAAGATAGTTCTGACTTAAGAGAAGCACTCAAGGTGTTAAAAAGAGTTAGGCTTTGGTTTTATATAGAGGTCTTCTGAGAAATCAGTGTCCAAGTTTTATGGTATGTCTGTTAAAAACAAATAACATACTAATATATGATTTTTTTCCTCCATCATCTGGAAAAAGCTGATTTACAGTTAGGCAAGTTTATTTACTAAGGAGTTCATTTTTTGCAAACATAACATCACATACTCATATATTAATATGCCTAGATTATTTGAAAATTATTACTAAATTGTCATTTCAGTACATTTAAGTATAATTGTTGCTGTTAATAAATTTGAATTCCTAGAGAATCATTAAAGAAGAAAAGTCAGGGCCGGCCTGGTGGCGCACTGCTACAGTGCGCTGCTTGGGAGCACGGCGGCACTCCCGCCGAGGGTTCGGATCCCACATACAGACCGGTTACCGCTCACTGGCTGAGCGAGGTGTGGGCGCGGCACCGAGGGTTGCGATCCGGTTGCCAGTCCCGGTCCGGTACGGGCGCGACACTGAGGGTTGCGATCCGTTGCCAGACACGAAAAAAAACAAAAAAGGAAAAAAAAAAAAAAAGAAGAAGAAGAAAAGTCAGGGGCCATTATCTAATCAGCAGTAATTAGGTTTTAGAATTGGCTTCGTTAAGGACTAGCTTTGTAACCTTAGACAAATACCTTGGTCTTAATTTGCTTTTGTTCCTTATGTACAAAGTAGGAATAATAATGTTTATCCAAACTTCCTGACAGAATTGACATGATGATAACGAGAAAATAGAAGGGGAAAAACTCCAAAAAGCCTCAAGTATGATAAAGCAGAGTTTTAGTGTTAGAAATAGTATTTTACAATCAACATATATAGAAAATTCTGTATTTTGTAAACACTGGTGTGGCATTTTCTTAGAGTAAGAACTGCAAGAAATGACAATCTTAACAGTTTTAAATATAACCCAATGAGTAGCTAAGAAGAAAGTATACTGAACTGTTATGTTCAAATTGTCATAGCTCTACTTTCTAGTAAGATATAATTTATATATATATGTATATTTCAAGGCTTACAATTCATAAACATTCAAACTAATTCCGTATTAAGGAATTAGAAGTGGCCTGTAGTTAGGCATTACCTTCTTTGATCAGGTTTAGTGAATATTTGAAAACCTAAAAAAGTTAATTATCTTAACAACTACATTGAAACTGCATTGTAGCAGATGTGTTTTATGGGCTTTTTTTCTTTTTCCTTTTTGGTGATGGGGGGTTTATATCTTAGGTTCTTTGCATTCTTTTCATTTCAATCTAGAAATTTAAATTTTAGGCCAATTTGAGTTAGAACAAATTTATTATATGATAACTGCTTTCAATTAAACTAGCTTCATAATCTGTTAGTACTGTCAAGAAGCCAGGGTAATACTATAGAGGGGAAAGTGGAGGGTTTTGTGTCTGATTGTGTTTGAATTGTGACTTCACTACTTACTGGGTATTTACTTTCTTTGACCTTCAGTTTTTTCATTTGTAAAATGGCCATTATAGTATCTGCTTCCAAAGGTGATTATGAAGATTAAGTAAGATAATATATAAAATTTGCCTTCCTCAGTGACTGGTATATTACTACATGTTGAAATGAAGTTATTCATCACCCCAAGCATGTATACTTATATAAGGCAAGTCAATATTTGTTTCTTTTCTTTTTTTTTTTTTTTGGTCTTTTGTCCTTTTCCGTGTCCGGCAACGGATCGCAACCCTCAGTGTTGCCCCCGTACCGGACCGGGGACCGGCAACGGGATCGCAACCCTCGGTGTTGCTCCCGCGCCTCGCTCAGCCAGTGAGCGGGAACCGGTCTGTATGTGGGATCCGAACCCTCGGGCGGGAGCGCCGCCGCGCTTCCCAAGCGGCGCACTTATCCAGTGCGCCACCGGGCCGGCCCCAATATTTGTTTCTTTTTTGACTCATAGGGATCTCTTGAGGGGGCAGTAAAAGGAAAATCAGTGATTATTGTGCTTTTCTTGAAACCCCATATATATCTGGGATGATATTCCTATTTTATGGATTCCTAGAAATGTGTTGTATGACATCTTTTAATATTGTCCGTGAAAATGACATTATAACAAGTGAACGGGAACATCGTAAGTTAATTGTTACTACAATGGACACATTAGTTGTAGGAGTCTTGAGCGTCCATTAGTCTTGAGATTCAGGCTTTCTTAATTCACACTACCCAGGTTTAGAGGGGTTATAACCATTGAGTGGGATGAAGAACTTCTCTGTTGCATGGGATTTATAAAGACTAAATCAGAATTCAATCTGGAGTTCTTTAGTTGTTTCTACTTAAGGTGCACAGTTGCATAGATGGGAGGAAAGAATCCAGTTGCCCTAGGTAAAGTCCTTTTTGGAACTAATTACTGCTCAAAAGGGAAGGGGGAATTAATGCAATTGGTTCCTAGTAAATCGTTGGTTTCTTTTATTTTCTGTTTTGACATAGAGAGCAGAAGAAAGGAAATTATTGCCTACTGTGTGAAGGGTATTTTGCTTTATACAAGAACATTTTCATTTAATCCTCACAGTACATCTGTGAGGTAGGTTTGTGGTTTTACCTTGATTTTATGGCAGAGAAAGTTGTGGCTCAGAGAGCTTGAGTAACTTTCATGAGGTCATATGGTAACAGGTGGCAGATTAATTATTATTTATTATTTATTATTAACTATTTTTGCTGTTTGTGTGTGTGAGAGGTGTGTCATTTTTGTTTTTTCATATTGTCTTACATGTAAAATGTAGAAAGAATATCAGACATTTACATTTTAATATAAAAACTACATTTTAAATAGGACTAGCTACTGTTTTTAAGATAACTGAGATTCGAACCCAGGTTAATTTGGTTCCAAAGATTTTGGTAGACCTTGGGAAATACAAAGATGAAGAAAACATCATCTATCTGTTGATCTTGTAGACTAATGGAAAAGATTGACAAGTGAGCTCATATAGTACTCTGTTAAAAGTTAGATGGAGGGCCGGAAAGTGGCTCACTTGGGAGAGTGTGGTGCTAATAGCACCAAGGCCGCGGGTTCGGATCCCTATATAGGGATGGCCGGTTAGCTCACTAGGGAGAGTGTGGTGTTGACAACACCAAGTCAAGAGTTAAGATCCCCTTACTGGTCATCTTTTAAAAAATAAAAAAAAGTTAGATAGGATTTCAGAATGACAGTGCTGGGGAAGGTTTTCCAAAGGAGGTAGCTTTGAGTGAGTCAGACTGTGAATGATAAGGGAGAAACTGCCTGGTGGAGAAAGGCAAGTTGGTTGGATTGTAGCAGGTGGCAAAGATTGCACAAAGACATACATAGGGAGTCACAGTGTATGGCATCTTGGAACTAAATACAGGCTTTCAGTTTAGATTTTTCTCTATAGGGAATCAAGACATTTTAAAGCAGAGAGGAATAGAAGGGTGGAATAATGATGACAATGATGATAATTTAAGGAACATTCTGAAAGAGATTCTAAAGGAGGTTGGTGTTGCAAAGAAGTCTAGCTGTTTTTTTCTTCTTAAAGATCACCCAAATAATGAAGGGCTCTCTATTCACATGTAATTGCTTAGTCTAAGTGACATTATTAATTAGTTAATGTAATTATTCCATATACATATAAGAAACATCTTTTTAAGTTAAATATATTTCCTATTAAAACCATCTATTTAACTTGCATATGAAACTTGTAGTTCTAAAGAGACAACTAGGTATTTAGCATAAATATTTTAGATAATTAGTTGTAGTGAAAATGTAATATTGTTTGGATGGGCAGGAATGCTATTCAAATGATCTTGAAATAAAGAGTCTTTTTAAAAGCAGTTTTTATTTATTTTTTATTACATAGCAATACATGCTTATTACAGAAATTTAAGAAACAGTAATCAAAAGAAAACAAGGATTACCTGTAATCAGTAAACAAAGATAAACTTTGTGTGTGTGGGGGGGTGCTATCCCAGTCACTAAGCAAGGTTTTTAATATTCACTAAGATTCCAGAGTTCTAGTCAATCAATGGCTATATTTAATACTTCTTTAAGAAAAATGGTTTCCATTTTCACATATTTTTGTGACTGAATTACTATGGCACAATTGAGAGTTTGGATTAATTTATTTTCACTCTGATTTTCATTTAATACCTTAGATAGTTGTTTCAACTGATTAAAATTTTAGCCTATCTGATTAAATACTAACAATTTGTTGCTAGTACATTAGACATTAGACATTCCTCAGGATGCTAAAGGAAGAAGGAACCTTAAAAACCATCTGGTTTACTTTTCCATTTTACAAATGAGGAAACTTTTCTTCCAAGCTATTGATGCTATTAGTTTAGGTTTTCTTTTTTAAAGCTCTCACTTGATTGTAGTCCTCTTTCTTTCTGTTTGAACTGTTTGTTTTTCCATCTCTCAGCCAGTGGTACAAAGAAAAAGGAAACTGAGGAGAGGAGATAGCATGTGCCAGAGAAGTAGAAAGAGCCGGTATATGTCTGGGTATAATCATATAACAAGCCTGGAAAGAAGGAATGATTTCTATTAGTGAAACAAAATCTTTCCATTAGTAATTCTCAGCCATGGACTACCAGAAGGAAGGAGCCTCCTTTACTTACCAGTCTGTAGTGTGACCCATTAGAAAGTTAGTCAAACTTCTTACCTGTCTTATTTTTCACTGATGAGGTTGAAACAGTTTCATCTCAGTTAGGAACTTAAACCTGTGAAAAGGTCATTGTGGACTTGGAACTCATCTCCATTCTCAGATTGGAAGTTGGAGAAAATTAGGGACATATACTATCTTATTTTATGATTAATCTTATTAGAAGACCACTATTTTTACAAAGGAAATAATTACCAATTACTACTATTTTCCAAAGGAAAAATGCGAGAGAACTTATCTTTTTTCCTTCACTGAACAAACACTTGAGTACTTACTATGTTCCCAGCAATATGCAAGATATTGAAGATGCAATGATGAGCCGAAACAGACATGGTCCCTGCCCTCACAGAGCTTACAGTTCAGTGGAGAGATAGGTAGTAATCACATAAATTACACGTGATAAGTGATATGAAGGTAAGTTTCAAGGGGCCATGAGAGCATATGAGAAGGAACCAGCTGCTTGGTCAAGAAGGTTAAATGATGACCAGTTCCCCCTGAAATCTAAATTTTTTAAAGCAGGAGTGGAAGGGTCCTCAAAAATCTTTTGAATAATGGCACATACTAGAACTTAAGTGAGACACTTTTGTTTTAAAACTGATTGGGTGATGGCAAAGAATATTTGTGCTAAGGCACCGGCACTTAAATATTGTTGCAAAACTCAACACTGTGGAAAAAGGCAAATAAATAGTTAGTATTGTTATGGAAATAAGTTTTGACCTATGAGCTCCCTAAAAAGTTCTCAGGAACCTCTGGGGGGGTCCACTGACCTTACTTTGAGAAACTGTTTTTTAGAGTATTGTATGTGTATTATATCTGATTACTTCTCAAAAAATTTTGGTGCGGTATGCCAGCATAGTTCTGGGTTCTCATGGGATACACTCATGAACAAAATAGATGAAAATATCTGCCATTGTGGAGCTTATATTGTATCTCTTGATTTTTTTCTTCTAGCTTAGACCAACATTTAAGTGGATTGATTTCTAGTGTGATTTGTTTATCAAGGAGCTCAATAATGTGCACTGCACAAATGTTTATTGAGCACCTACTTTCTGTCAGTCATTGTTCTGGGAGCTAGTTAATGAACAGTAAATGAAATATATGAAAATCCCTGCCTTTTTTTTTTTTTTTTGGTGTGGTTGTATATGTCTTTCTTGGCTTTCCTCTTTGTCCCCTTATTTGGCTCTGACATAGACTTAAATTTTTCATTGTTTTAATAGTTTTATGTTTCCTATTCTTAATGTAATAAGTGAATGAATAGAATGTTTTATAGCCTGTTAAATTCAACTAACTTTAAATTGCTTTTTACTTATGGAGTCCTTGATCAGTGACCTCAATTAAATGTTTCTTGGAGTTAAGCAAGAGAGTGGAATGAAACCAACTAGGACAAGTCCTTGTATTAAGTTGATTGTGATTGACCTATATAGATCTCTTAAGAAATAGGTGACCAGTATCTGAACTCTTCTAAAAATTTCTAGAAAGGAGGGAGTTTGGAATGTGCAGTACCCCGTTATCCCTTGTCATTCTTGCCATTCTTGGTCCCACCGGCACAGCAAATTTACTTGTGTGTGTGTGTGTGTGTGTGTGTGTGTGTGTGTGTGTGTGTGTGTGTGTGTGTAATCTGTGAATTATAAGACAGGTACCAGATGTGATCCTCTGGGAAAAGAGGAAGACTAGGAATTCTTGGATAAAGAGGTAGGTAGTGCTACTAAAATGTCAGGAGGGCACAGCTGAAAATAGTGGAAGTGGATTGAAGATAAAACTACTTATCAACCTTTCAATTTCATACATACACACACATTTAATGGCATAATGTTGTTTCTGAAATATTAAGGATTAAAATATATTTAATATGTTTTATTACCAGGGCAGGGAATCATTTAGCACAGTTTAGAACTATTTCCATGTATTTCCATGCAAAATTACATGAGATAATTTGTTTTAAATATGTTTCTCCCATTCATGCTTGATAATTGAGATGTTAGTATTTTTTAAATTCTTATTAAGGTCCATTTACCATTCAGTAGGATAACAGTGTGCAGTTGAGTATTTAGTTTTAGAGTCCTGTTTATAATAGCAAATATGAGGTGAAATGTAGGATGCAGAACTGTATCATATTACTGATTGTCTTATAAAAGTATTAGTTGTCATAATCAAGCTTAGGTTTAAGTGGCTACGGGGTAATTTAAATTTTGAGCTTTGTTGGCACTGAAACATCTACTCTGTTTGCTTGGAATAACTAGTCTTACTTTACCACTTAAAGTAAGAGAAGATTGTATATTTGGTCTGATTTTACTAGATTTCTGTACTTTTTTTTTGTAACAGCATGAAAAAGCTGTATACAAATGTGTCTCCAACCCTAAACAATTTAATACTTCTTTTTTTTTTTTTTGTCTTTTTTCGTGTCCGGCAACGGATCCCAACCCTCAGTGTTGCGCCCGTACCGGACCGGGACCGGCAACGGGATCGCAACCCTCGGTGTTGCGTCCGCACCTCGCTCAGCCAGTGAGCGGAACCGGTCTGTATGTGGGATCCGAACCCTTGGCGGGAGCGCCGCCGCGCTCCCAAAGCGGCGCACTATCCAGTGCGCCACCAGGCCAGCCCTAAGTAAACATTTTTAAAAGAAATTATCATTGGTAGTTCAGAAGCCACTGTATTCTGTTTTGAATGAAAGCACACACATAAGTTGACATTTAAAAGACTGGATTCCTTTGTGGTCATAGCAAAAGCATTGTGAAGGTCAGAAAAAGACAGGATTATATACCAGCCACAATTCAGGGTAACGTGCATGCATCTGAGTGTTCATTCCATGCTGAGGTCTGTATGTGGGATCCGACCCCTTGGCGGGAGCGCCGCCGCGCTCCCAAAGCGGCGCACTATCCAGTGCGCCACCAGGCCAGCCCTAAGTAAACATTTTTAAAAGAAATTATCATTGGTAGTTCAGAAGCCACTGTATTCTGTTTTGAATGAAAGCACACACATAAGTTGACATTTAAAAGACTGGATTCCTTTGTGGTCATAGCAAAAGCATTGTGAAGGTCAGAAAAAGACAGGATTATATACCAGCCACAATTCAGGGTAACGTGCATGCATCTGAGTGTTCATTCCATGCTGAGTATTACTGTACGTAGCCAACACTCTGAGGAGTAAACTGGCAACTTATGCAGATTTACTAAGCTGAAGAACTCTGTAAGCATTTCCTCAGTGTCTCCAGGTACTACCTGTATCAGATTTACTTGAGATGCATGTTAACAACGCAGATTCATTGTCTTCCCTCAAGGATACTTTGTCTTGGGTGGCACCCAGTTGATTCTGATACACAGTCAACTTATTTATTATTTAATAATATTTTATTTTAAATGATTAGTTTAAATTATTTCCTTATATCTGTGGCTGTAACTGTTGTTTTGGGCAGGAATGTCTAATAATGTTTTCTGTGATAATTTAAAAGAAGAAGATTGGGCCGAGCTTCCTCAAACAGTTTTGCAAACCAGTTTTCTTATAGTCGGCAAAAGAGGGATAAGAATAGAATAATCTTTTCAGTTTGACATTTAATACAGTAGCCCCCCTTTCCACAGTTTCAGTTACCTGCAGTCAACTGTGGTCCGAAAACAGGTGAGTACAGTACAGTAAGATATTTTGAGAGAGCGACCACATTCACATAATATTTTTACAGAATATTGTTATAATTGTTTATAAATTAAACTTTATCATAGGTATACATGTATAGGAAAAAACGTAGTATACAGAGTTCAGTACTATCCGTGGTTTCAGGTGTCCACTTGGGGGGGGCCTTGGAACATATCCCGTGAAGATAAAGGGGGACTACTGTATAGGATTCTAAATTTTTTAAAATGTCAATATTTTTAAATCATTCTGTGTCATTTACATTTAAAAAGGAGTTTAGCCCCCTCCCCCCAAAAAAAGTTACAGTGCAGCCTTATAACACCAAGGTTTGGATCCCCGTATCGGCCAGCTGCCAACAAAATAAAATAAAAAAGGAGCTTAACATCCTGTCTAAAAAATATTCCAGATATCTCAGAACTTGATTATTGAGTTGACTTATGAATAGTTTTTATTAGGATTACTATTGTAAGTTTACTATTAGTCATTTTGTTAAAACTTGAAATATGCCCAGAAGATTCTTAATTCCAGAGTTCTTGAAGCTGGTTCAAATAAGGGATTGAGAATCCTGTAAGTGAGTGGCCAGTGTTCAATCAGAACTTCCAGCTGTTGAGCTGTAGCATAATGGCAGACTTCCAGGTATACACAGACAATGATCTTCTCTTACCACTGGGGCCACTGGGGCTACCAGCTGGCTACTAGCAGCCTTGTCCTTTTACTTTGGCTGTGTTATACAAAATTTTTTGTGTGTGCCATGATGAAAAAAATCTTGGGAAACATGGTTTAGCAAATTTAAACCTCAGGGCTGTTTAAGATAGAAATTCACTAACTGCCCCAGGATAGAAATTTGCAATAAGATTTATTGGAAGTGCGTTAAGTATTGGCTTTGTGTTGTAAGTTTCATTAAAAGGATTGTGGTCTCTATTAGTATTTGGAAGTTTGATTCCTTGGCCTTGCAAAGTGTGTTATATTTGCAAGGGAAGGACTGCTCCTCCCCACTTTTTAAACCACAATAGAGAATTATTTGGAATTTATTTATTTGTTTATTTTAAAAAGATGACCGGTAAGGGGGTTTTAACCCTTGACTTGGTGTTGTCAGCACCACGCTCTTCCAAGTGAGCTAACCGGCCATCCCTATATAGGGATCCAAACCCTTGGCCTTGGTGTCACCAGCACCACACTCTCCCAAGTGAGCCACGGACCGGCCCCTAGAATTTATTTTTTATGTTTTTGTAGGTATTCATCAATCTTAGGAATACTGGATCAAAATAAAATTCTGCGAGGCTTTATTGTTTGTGGAGAAGATAATTACTAGATAAATAAGTGATTTATGTTATTTTCTTTTGCCTCTTCAGGGTGTAATATTTTATTCAGAAGGCTGAGTTATTTCTGTTTGTTTGGTTGTTTTTTTTTTTTTTTTCAAATAAAATTTCAGGTCATAGAGAAATTGTCAGTTGATAGGCCAACATGACTGATAAAACTGTAGAGGTCGTGGTTGGTAAAAGGTGCATTCAGGACCAGATGGAATTTTTATTTAATGTTATGTCTGAAATGAGGAGGGAAAAGAGATAAGGAATGGCCTGTCATTTCATGAAGAGATGACTTATCTGTGTTAATGGAACAAGAGACAAGCTTAGATGGATGAATTGCCATTTTAACCATTGTCTTTTCCTATAAAACACAGAGTTGATGCAAAATTACCATTTTTACTTCATGGTATTTCTGATGAACTGTGAGGTTGGCAAATAATAGCAAGAGAAAAATGTACTACTTTTTTAGGAAATAGTACAATCAATTTATAGCTATTTGGGATCAGAAATGGTTTTCCTAGAGTTAGTTGGAAAAAAAAATCACTTTTGTGAAGTATCTGCTAGATTGAGTTAAACTTCAACATATTTTAAGGTCTTTCTCTTATTCCACATCTCAGAATATCTTCAGTTAAAGATAAAATAAGAAAATGGAGAGATGGGTTATAGTCGCTTAACCAAATTTTCAATTAATGAAGTGGAAGAAGATGCAAATTCTAACAATTCTCAGTTTTAAAAGGTTCTCTAGACTGTTGCCCTTAGTATGAAGTCCTGGCAGTGTGTGTGGCAGAGTGACTACCATGCCATGATTCATTGAGCCACAGGAGGATTTTGAGAGAGTGACTTTTGTCTTCTCTCTGTTCCATGTAGCATCTAGCAGAGTGTTACGCTAATAAGTTGCTTGATCATTATTGAATGAATACTGAGTTATGATCAAATAATTATGGTGTTTTAAAGGAGTTTTCAGAAGATATTTGTGGTTGATTTAAATAAATATTAGCATAATATATATGATAACTGCATATGTCAGTTGGGAATGGGGAGTGTATGGAGAAAAGGGAAACTACATTCAGTTTTATTTTACAGGCAGCTAATATGGGCCCTTGGTGGTTTTATTTTTAAATGAAACTGAGCCTTTAGAATTTTGAGCTTACATGTCAAATGCCTTGGAGGCAAGATTAGGAATTTCATGTCAGTAGCTTACATCTGACTTGTATATTGGAGGATATGATTATATACTTCCTTTTCTGCCCAAGGCACTATTTTTGTATTTATATTGCTTTCTGCAGGTTTACTTTGTTAACAGGGGTCTACTAGAAATATGCGAAGGTTTTAAAATATCAATATTTTTCATTTTTTTGCAACCTTCCAAGGCTTCCATCTTCATACCAGTGTGTAGTTCTAGCTGCCATCTACTAGCAAAAAACAGCAGTTGGGTTTGGGCAAGCCATGACCTTTGGCCTACACTTAGGTCTGCTGACCACCCTGGGTCAGGGAACCTACAACAACCCTAAAACTGACTTAGTCTAATTTAGTTCATGTTATTAACTCAAATTGAATTTGTCACTGAGTGTTGGAAAGGGATAGAAGGGATTGTGGGGTAGAGTGGGCAGGTTGGTGCCTTACAAAGAAGGTGTGTGAGTGTCCAGGGGGTAAGTTTTAACTTTCAGTTTTTCAATACCTGTCAATAAGTTTCAGCAAAGATCTGATAAAGAATTTTGTTGCTACTGTATTTCTTATATTCACGGTTGGGAAAGGTTCGTAAATAATATTCTTGTCCATATGCTCTATTTACATTTTTTAAAAATAAAAAATAGCTATATGATTCCTATGGATTTCCTGTTTTCTTTCCTTGAATTATTAAAATGTGTTGTATAGAACTAACTTTTTTTTCTTTTTCATTTCCATACAGGAAAGAGAAAAATATTGGTCATGTAATCAGTGTTACCATTTTTAACTAGTGTTTTGACTGAGGATTATTGTGAAAAATTTTACCATTTGCCAGATTCCTAATTAAAAATGCCTATAATCTTTTATAGGAATTTCAACTTTTGCAATTTGGTAATAACAGTTCTAGGTAAGTAAGAAATGAGAATCTCATACAGTTCAGAAGATCTAAGTTTGGTTGAGAATTTAATACTTTATCACCAGTAAGCCTTCCGATTTAGTTAATGCTACAGACAATAATGACTGCCCATGCCTACTGAGAACAGAGTTAATCTGTAAATCAACATTTCTGATGTTTCTCTGGTAGTTGTTGCAGGAGTCAGAAGTTAGGAACAAATCTAATAGTCTTTGTAAAGTCCTCTTTGTCATTTCACAGAAGAATGGCGTATAAGAGCAAGGCTTTCCTGAAATTTCTCTTCAACAAGAGGTTTAGCAGCACAGTTTTGTAGTCAGTGAGATATCATGGTGTGTAGAGAAGGAAATTAAACTGAATTATATATCATCATAATCTTAAGATACTATGACCAACTCCTGGACTAAAAATCTTTACATAAGCTTTCAGCAACAGCCTTATCATTTCCTTTGACATTTTTGTAGAACTTATAAAATTTATGATTGTCTAAGTAATATCCTCAGAATTAGTGGGTAAAAAAATTTATCATGAGCTCTCTTTATCTTCAATCAAATATAGTACTAGGGTATTTTGTACTTTGGGTAATAAAATCTAAACTTTATTGGACTGATAATAAATATTTTTTATATCATATATTTTACATTACATAGATGTGCGTGTGCATGAAATAAAAGTTTCACAATAAAGTGATGTATACTGTTTTCTAATCTGCTTGTTGTAGTCTATCCTTTTGCATTAAGAAAAAGTAAGAAAAGATCATGACACAACAAATTGATTTCAAGACCCACATATGTACCAATAGAGTTTTCTTTTCATCTAATGGTCCTCACAAAACCTGCTTTGTTTTCTCATATATTGAACTCTTTAATCATTTTTATTTTAAGAAGTATACAAAAACATATAGAACATTAAACATGTAGTTTTGTTACTTGCCTTTATCATTCGATTAAGATTATTCTCTGCCCTGGTATTGTTATCTCCCTATATTTTTGGCCCGACAGGCTTGAAAAGTTGCAAGGTGCCACTGGGGATGGCCAGTGAAGAAGATGGCCAAGATTGATAAAAGGTATCAGCAAACTGTTTGATCTGTTTTCTCTATCTCTCTGCTCTGCTAGGCCCCTCTATTATTTGGCATCCTTTTATCAGGCCCTATCTACCAATTCTGAGCTTTACTTTAAAATTATAGCCTGCTTTCCAGGTATGAAGTGTAGGCCAAGAATTAGACAACATGGTAAGTGGAGTGTTCATAAATGCAAGTAAGACTTGCTTGTATATCTATATAAATTTTTCTTTTAGAATAAGTATGCCTAAAATGAACCTCAGATAGCGATGTGCTTTTTCCTCCCAGTAATAATTATTGTTATCCTAAGTTTATATTCTTTTTCTTTTAATATTTGCCTTTTCTAAGTCTTAAGAGGTGCAAACTTAACATCATTATAAACTTAGGTTTTAGAAAAAGGGTTGTGGGGCAAGATCAGATCCCTTCTCTGTTTCACTTCAGGACTGAAAGAAGCAAAAGTGAGTTTTAGGCTAAGTTCCTTTTTGTGGATGATTTGAAATACTGTAGTCATTTGAACATTCAAATATATTAAGAACCTATGGTGTATAAGAAAACTAAAGTTTAAGCCTGTTCCCTAGAATATTTCTGTTTGAGTAGTCAAATTTTTAATAGTCTTGGATTAAATGTTCAGCAAGCACAAAATATCCATTAGGTAAAAAGTGAATGTAAAACTACACTTCAGTCTTAAAGTTTAATCTAAATAATCAGAACTCCCTAAATATTTACTGTACTTGTATATAATGTGTACCAGTGGCTCCAGATATCCTCTCCACAGAGATTCTAGCCCTCAGGTCAAGTATTCTCCCACCCTAGTACAGACAGAATGTGAAGGGCCTCCATCCCTCTTTGAAAAGAACAGATACTGGGCAGCCCTAGACTGCTCTGTGGCACATTGGAAGAACAAAGGTGTCAGGCTTGCAGTTTTCAAACTCTGTAAAAATGACTTGTTTAGCTAAAGACACTAGTGGTTCTATTTTCTTAAAGCATCATGGGTCTTTGAAACTCTGATAAAACTCTGGATGGGCTCCCCAGACAAGTAGACATACATCCAATCCCTGCTCTAAGACTCCTAAGGAAATATAAGAATCTGCTTAGGGCACATCTGTTGAAATGACCCTCAGATTTTCCTGTATTGGTGATGAAGTGAGAGTAGGTACAGGAGGGACTGAAATAGCAGTTTCCTTTAAACCGATACTGTCATTACATTTTACCATGAATCCCGGATCAGTGTTTTCTTTTATTGCTATGGAAATTTGCTCAGAATGTGGCTAAGCTATTACCTGCTACAGGTGGTCCAGAAAGGACAGCCATTCCAGCGAAGAAACCAGCAAAGCCCAAAAACCTGTGTACTCCAGAATTCTTAGAAAGGTCAACCTGTAGGGATTAGAATTCAGTGTTAGCCATATTAAGAATGCAGTTCTGTAGAGAACTATGCCTACAAAGGGACAAATACTTTTTGTCATTTCAAATTGTGAACAGTTGACTTCTAAGGTGATTTGGGTGGCCTTTCACCTCCAATATTATCAAAGAGAGCTGAGGTCAAATAGGCAAGAGTAACTTTGCTAGGCAAAGTTTTTAGTTTATTAGTAAGAAACATTGGTTTTTGTTTTTAATCTTTTAGGTAGTTTGGGAGTACTTCCCCCCCCCCCCCCCCCCCCCC